ACGTTTTCCGAGTCCTTCGCCAAGTGCTTTTCGCCCGACTGCGATGGAGCTGCATGGGACTCCGCTGCTCCGCCGGCTCCAGATGTCGACGCCAACGACCATCAACGGAAGTAGGTCGACGCCATGGGCTACATGGCGCTCACGCTGTCCTAGACCTGGCCATCTACATCTACATCTTCCTCGGCGCCATGGTGTTTGTGGGCGTCATGAGCCTCTTTGCGTACTGCTACCACCAGCGCCGCCTCCAGCGCTACGTTGAGAACGACAATCTCAACAACAACATGCAGCGCCACTCGCTCATCGACAGCTTCCTCGAGAACGGCGAGTCCGAGTGGCAGTGCTCGATCTGCTACCACGACAACCACCCGGCGAAGCGCGAGTGTCTTCTCTGCGGCACGCCCCAGGGTACACTGTCACGTCCATCATTAGCAGCACACGTCATGATAATGAATCTAGTCGTCTCGCAGCAAGCCGTCACGACGCCGAGAATACGGGCTCACGGCGCGACGTCGCCCGACGAGACCAGCAATCTTCAGCTCGCGCGGCAGCGGTCGTTCCATGTGCGCCGCCTCAACGAGATGCAAGACAACATGCATTTGAACCAGCGACAACGCGGCGCGCGGCGCCGCAACCTTTGGAAGCGCGAGAAGGGCGACGACGGCCAGCTGCGCTGGGTGCGCATTGAAGATTGCAAGCCGCGCGTGAGCGTTCTCGCGGCCACGGCCACCAACACGTCGTCCGAATCGTCGTCGGACGCACCCGAGCGGTACCTCTTCGACATGCAGGCGCGCACGTCGTTCTCGCAGACGACGGACGGCGACAGCGTCGAGACCGAGCTCCGCGTGACGTCCAAGCCGTCGTTGCCACGCACGCCACTCGTGACCCAGGACTCGACGGGCTACGTGCGGGACATGGATGCCTCCGGCGCCGTCCTCTGGGTGCCCGCCGACTCGGTGCGCATGTCGGAGGCGATTCAAATCGACACGGACGAGTTCCCGCGCGCCTCGTCCATGATCGACTTTGAGTTTGTCGCGTCGCTGCCCTTTCGGCACAAGGTGCGCTGGTTTCTCCAAGAGCTCGACAAGGTGGCCGTGCCGTGGGAAGAAGGCCACCTCCTCCTTAGTACGCCGCGTCCATTTTCACTGTTTTCCTATTTTTTATTTACTTGCATTTTTGTGTAGAGATTCGGCGCGACGCTGTCTTGGACGAATCGCTGCATCTGCTCATGCTCGTGCCGGCTTCGGACATTCGCCAACGCCTCCGCATCGAGTTCATCGACGAGCCAGGTACTTGTCTTGTCGGATTAGGGGTAGGGGAGTTCTAAGTGGGGGTAGGTCTGGACGCGGGCGGTCTTCTCCGGGAGTGGGTGCTCTTGCTCTGCGAACGACTCTTTGACGAGTCGTATGGGCTCTTCCAGGCCACGCACGTTGAGAACCTTGGGTACAAAGGCTGGATCATTTTTGTGTTACGAATTTGTGTACGATAGGTACTGGCTCAACACGAACGCGGCGCAGCTTCGGGACGATCACCTCAAGTGCTACGAGTTTATCGGTCGTCTCATCGCCAAGTGTCTTTTGGAAGGCCAGCTGCTCACGGTGCATTTCGCGCTGCCGCTGCTCAAGCACATTTTGGGCGTCCCGATTTCGTTTTCGGACCTCGAGTTTCTGGGTACCTCTCTTTTGCCGCCGCAAAGCGATGTATCGATGATGGAGTAGACGAAGAGCTGTGCAAGAATGCCAACTGGCTGCGCACCAACAGCCACGTCGAGAACCTCTGCTTGGACTTTACCGTGCAGACGCTCGACGCCAACGGAAAGCCTTTGCCGCCGATCGAGCTCAAGCCCAACGGCGCTTCGATTCCCGTGACGGATGCCAACAAGGACGAATACCTCAACTTGCTCTTGAAGCACTACATGTTTGATTCGGTCCAAGACCAGATCACGGCGCTGCTCAAGGGCCTCTACGACGTCATTCCGCGCAACCTCCTCTCAGTCTTTGACTACCAAGAGCTCGAGCTCCTCATCTGCGGCGTGCCCAACATTGATGTGGACGACTGGGAGCGCCATGCCGACGTCAAGTACCAGGATTTCGACCACCCGACGAAGCTCGAGAAGCGCGTCGTCGAGTGGTTTTGGATTGTGGTGCGGGACTTTACGCAGGAGCAGCGCGCGCGCCTCCTGCAGTTTGTCACGGGCACCTCGCGCGTTCCTGTCGAGGGCTTCAAGGTACTCCTCTTTGTCCTGCAGACTAGTATGAACGTGCATGTACCAGGGCTTGCTCAGCAACGACGGGCGTGTGCGCCGATTCGGCGTCCAGGTGGTCGCCCGGGGGGTGCCCCCAACGGGGTTGTACCCGAAAGCGCACACGTGCTTCAACCGCATCGACGTACCGATGTACGACTCGAAGGAAGAGCTCGCAACGTACTTGACGCTCGTCATCAACATGGAAATCACGGGCTTTACGATGCAATGAGACTCTGTAGTAGAACAATATATACACAAACACGCACACAACACTATGCGTCTATACATCGAATTGCTCAAGGTGAAAAAACCACTCTCTTGTTGTCTATCTGGGACAACCGAGCCACATAGTCTGGCTCTGTGAACCTAGACGGCCGAGATTTTGTCCATGACGATCTTGAGAAATATCTTCCCCTGTACCAAAGGGTCCATTTCTGGGTCAAATGATCCATTGTCGTCGATCCATGGAACAACAACCAACTGTACACTATTGACATTTATGTGAAGTGAACGGCCGGCCATTCATTACCGCATCGTCGATAGTTAATGATCTCGCTTTCGCGTCGTATCCAACTCGCCACTAGTGGGCTCACGTGAGAATTCATAGCGTCGTCGCACGTGCCATAGTAGTGCCCTCACCCGCCCGCTTGCTCGTGCTCGCCGACGACAGGGCCACGGCACGTTGTGATAGATGACACCCTTCCTCAAACAACTTGGGCGACAACCGTGTTGGGCTCGCTTGTTGACTGACACTGCCAATTTGGAAGTGCCTTGAGCTCGCTTGCTCTGCGCCTTGGGTCTTGTAATGTGTGTACTTCTAGATGTTGGTTTTCTGGGTCGCTCGGCCTTGGACGGAAAACCTCCTCCACTTTGTCGTGTCTGGATTGGTCAAGCCATGCCAGGCCGATGCAAGCGTGTATCGCTGGAGAGTTAGGACTCCAGGAAGCGAGTAGCCCAGAACCTGTGTAGTCTGTACGTGCGTGGTGTAGATATGATAGGGCTAGGTGCCATGTATGGATGATGTCCGGTAGCGACCCTATGCGGTAGTGACCCCAGTTGGAGCCCCTTGGCGACGGTCTCATTCGGCACAACCTATCCACGGCGAAGGCTTCTCAATACCTCTCGATCTGCCTTTGTGGCGTAACGCAATACAACTGCCTGCCTCCTGGAGATGGTTCTTCCCCCGCTGCGTTGTCTGCGTTGCTCCGTGGAAGCCACTCTACGCTTGGTACACCAGCCAGCGTTTACTGTAAGCACTAAGCTTACGTCATGGAAACAGACGTAGATGAGCGTTGGAATGTACTCAGGCGTGGCTGATTACTGACTAATGAAGCGTATTCACTGGCTCGCAGTGTTGGTCGAGTGACGCGCGACAAGCTTCGCTGAGTGGCTTGATTGACCATGCGTCGTACTCGAACGGCACCTGCTGTTGCCCCATGCATTTAACAACATGTGCGTTTCTACAAATCCACAGTTAGAGCCTTACAGCTAGTCGCTCGACTTGGTCGCCCTCCAACTAAAAGTCATGTGCTGTGAGATTATTGATCGATCGGCGTCGTTTGCGGTGTATGCGGACTAACAACTAATCGCACGTCTTACGTGGCGCCATTCTCTTCGTGCCGAGTAGCCGTCCCCTCGGCGGCTGCTGCGCAATTGCAACGTCCCGATGCACTGGGCGCACGGACAAGCAGGCTGATGTCGTACAGTGTACGTAGTACGTTTCTTATAATATTACCGGTCGTGAGCTCCGGCCGTATACGATTACCTAGTGTATACTCCAGCATTGGCCAGGCACGCGGGTGCAGCGTTGTCCGCACATCGGTATGCCGCCCTTGACGCAGCCCGTGACGCGTCCTCTTCGTGACTCATCGTTGAATGCGGCGACGCCATCTGGACTGTGTCACACGTGCGTGACGGCGATGCGCGATGATCATTCATCTGCTTCGTTTCCTGCAGCGACATCAGCAGTTTGCCATTTCCCGAGCGTCGATCATCGATTTCACGAGCATGTGCCTCTTTCACCAGTGCGATCTGCCGCCGCTGCCCGGCACCACCAAGTGCGAGCGCCACAAGCACCGAACGCCGTGCGCGGTGCCTGGCTGCGCCAACCAAGCGTACGCGCGCAGTCGCTGCGTGCGCCATGGCGGCCAAACGAGCTGCCTCCAAGACGGCTGCAACGCCAACGCCCGCGCCCACGGCTACTGCGCCAAGCACCTCTCGACAGACCACAAGTCGCTCTGCACGGAGCCCGGTTGCGGCAGCTTTGCGCGCACCAAGGGCCGCTGTGTGCGCCACGGCGGCGGCCGACCGTGCTCCGTGTGCGGGTGCAAGTCCCATGCCCGCAGCGGCGGCTACTGCCACCGCCACGCTGCCCAGCGCACGATGGCGCCAACGCCGTCCCCAAAACGCCCAAGCCGTTCGACTCGGATGCACTGCGAAAGCATGGAGATCGTCGACGACGACGCGTGGATGGACGACAGCATCCTCGAGCTCATTCTCGCCGTCGCGACTTTTGTCCACCCCGCACCACCGACATCAATAGAAATTTAGCCAAAAGCAGTGGCACTCTTGTACTGTAGCACCATATTCGTGTCGAGAAACGACGATTATATAACAAAAACGAACAATAACGTCTTTTCATTGTCATACACACAACAACAAACTCTCAAAAATGCTGCATGCAAGAATATCGCGACCTCCAGAGCTCTCTTATTGAGGCGCTGGTCGACGTGAGGGTCAAGGGCCAGCCACCGCATCGATTGACGGTGCCATAGCCGCGCGCTGGGTTCATTATGAGCAAGCGTGATCGACTGGATTGGTCTCGTCTTTACTCGGTGCAAGGTGGGATTCCTTGACTAAACTGGCTGACGCGCACGGCAAAAGTGACGACGGCGATGGGTGCAATGGAAACGCCAAGACAATTAATACCGACGGGATTGATTACTATGAGGAGGACGCTGCTGCAAGACGGGCTCTACGTGCCGCCAGCTGCCGAGGTGCTACGTCGGACAGGCCGCCTCGACAGGTGGACGTCGCATGACCGACACCTGATCACGGTGCACAACTCAGCACGGCCTTTCCAATGAAATTTTGTGCGGCCATCCGCGGCGTGTCATGATTAGCCCATCTGTCAGCTCTTTCCGAGCAGGACAAACAAAGCAAGGGCCGAAAAGTGAAAAATCAGCAGCTTTGGATCACGTCTTGGCATCAAACAAACACGTCACACGCCGTCAAGGGAATAAATCTTATTTATTCCCTTGCACGCCGTTCACGAGCCCGTCGCGGAGATGAGCCCGAGAGAGAGGCCCCAAGATATCCAACAAGCCGATGCATCCGAACGAGGTAGCCGCGATATCATGACATGCATACGTGACGACGCATGCCTTGCAGAGCAGCATACGCACGGTAGTATCGTTGTCGTCACTCGCTTGTCTGCGAAGAGCTCGTCTTTTGCATTCGAATGATCGACCATTAGCACGACACGAGCAGCATATGGACCATGGCAGCACTAGGAGATTGATCATGGTGTCCGGCGAAGAAGAGATCGAGGCCAAGGTGATCACAGGCGAGAACTGATGGTGTGCACGCTATCCGGTCCCTCGCACAATCTCGAATCACGACCACTAAAGCTCCTCGCTGAAGCACCGATCAAGCCTCACGAGCGCATTAGGAACTCCACCATACCTTTATAATTGCATGTAATATAACGCAGGTCAACAGGCGAAGTTGTCAAGCATCACGGAATCTAGGGCAATGTGCTCCACCTTTCGTAACTTTCAATTATGGTTCTACTTGAGGAGTCACGCAGCTTCCGAGAGACGCCGGCGACGGCTCTCTAACAATAACAGCCCACAATCAAGCCGGTTCAGCCTCACCGCCGCTAAGAAACAAAATTCGACGTCGACGCCGCTACGTCACTACTAGCACAGCGATGCATCTTTTGGATGAGCCCACCAGGGCACCGCAGCAAAGCGGAGGTAGCATTTGGCGCATGCATCCATTAGCGCGATTGTGCGGTCGGAGACCAAGACGAGCCGCTCTCGGTCCCGACTCCTGAGCCGCCTGCCGCCCCAATGTGCGATGAGGCGCGGCTTGAGCGGGCATTGACTTGACGCTCGATCGTTTTCTCAAGTATGCTACATATACCTGGTCCAATGACTGAGAATGCTGTCTTGGATACCTCCGAGGCCGTACGAAGAATGGTACCATAGTGACCCAGCAGGTCTGTCGTATGCTTTCAGCACTGGTGCTGTAGTGGCTCATGCGGTTGGGCGCGTCATCGCCGTCGATATCTGCGGACCAGGGTCTTCTCGCGACCGACCTGCTGCCTCTCTTGTTTAAGTATCCACCGAACGTGCCTGCAAGGTAGAAGATTCCCACAATGCTATATTGGATGTAGTAGTAAGTACTAAAGCGTGCCCATAGTCTTTCGTCTCCAGGACGCCGCGAACTCGCCCGGGACGCCTGTATTCTCGACCCGATGGACAGTCGAGGCCGAGATTTGAACCCACGGAGCCAAATTTCTAATCGCGGTGCAGGGTAGACCAGACTTTGATCATTCTAGATCCATTTCCCGCGCTATTCCTGTGTGATAACGCCAGGCGTGTATGAAGCGCTAGATAACGGTGCCGCCATTCCGGGATGTCTGGTTGTGTACTGAAAAGGCGTCAAGAGCTGGGTGCTCTCGCTGCATCCAACTCAGCGCGCTTGATACGTGGTGTACATGCGTCGTCAAAGCGACAGACGACAAACAAGGCTTCAAGATTCTCTGTGGGTATGTACGAGTACCGATCCCATCGTGCGACGACCGGCATACAGACTCGTCACCTGTCCTTTCCTTTTGAAAAATCCGCCATTTTTCATGCCTCAAGCTTCTCAAGACGTAGCTAGGAGGATCGCTGCAATACAATCTCCTGCACGCCTGCCGCCCAAGCAATTTATCGTTATCAAGGGACTAGTGACTCGTGCATTGTCGATATTATCACGGACAATAGTTGCAACGTTAAAACAGGAAAATAGGCACATCCAATGGCACTTTGCAACTTTTTTCCCCGTGGTATCGATTGACGTCGTACGTTATTGTTGTTGTTGAAGTGGGTCGTCTATTAAAATACAAAATTTTAGCCGAGTACACTTGGTCAAGGGCCGTGGTTGAGGTAGACAGAGGCAGGAGCGCGAGTCGCGGGACAAGCTGCTGGAGCGGCGATCGTCCATGGACTCGGTAGGTCGTCGCGACCGTCGAATCGTTTCGGACGCGCCAGACGTTGAACCAGACGCACGCGCAGAGCACCGAAAACGTCATTCGTATGTTTTCCCGACCAGATGTCGTCTGATTGGCGCCTGAAACATCCTAGCCAGTATTATAGCTGCCGATCACAATCCAAAAAGCCTCGCAGCGAGCATGACCACCAGCATTACGTACGGCGACGACATATTTTGCCAGGACATTGCGGTCCTCGTCTCGGGCGAGTCGAGCCCCAACTCGCCGTCGTCGGGCTCGGATAGCACCAAGAAGCGCCGTCGGTCGACGATCCTCGACGAGCTCAAGTACCTTCGCGCCAAACGCGACGAGCTCTCGACGCAGCTCGAACAACTCCAGGCGATCACGAGCATGGTGCCGATCGAATCGAAGTGGGCCAGTCGAGCGGCCACACAGGCGCAAGCGGCGCAGCAAGCGCTGCACGAAAACGCCCAACTGCAAGGTCTCCTCGGCGACCAAATGAAGCTGCTGGCGACGCTCCAGCGCGCGTTTGCGCGCCGCCCCAAGCTCTGCACGTTCTCGGGCATGGCGCTGTGGAAGCGTGCGTCCTTGGGCCCGACCAACTGGCATGCGACGCTGGACCGTATCCTCGACGACCACCTCGGCAAGCTCAGCACCGAGTACGTTCGCCGCGACCTGCACACGCACGAAGCAAGCCGTGAGCGGTACGCGCACGTCCAACTCGAAGAGAGCGACGAGGCGTCGTTGGTGATGCACACGACGGTCTGTCACTCGTGGCCCGTGCCGTTTACGCAGCTCGCGGAGCTTTTGTGGGGCATGATCACGGCGCCGATGCCGGAAGAGTGCGGCGTGTCCAGCACGGTATGTCGTTTGCTGCGAGGACTTGCCGACGAGTTGGCTAAGTATGTTGACGTAGCTCAAGGAATCGTTTGGAACCGAGATGACGTACGCGCATTATGTTGCCAACAACTTTCCGGCGCTGTTCCCGCCGATTCAAAGTCGGATTGCGGCGCGCAAGTACGTGGAGGCGTCCCGGGTCGTGCTCGTATGGCGCACTATCCTCGAGGACGCGCTCATGCCGTGGAACCCGCAGCAGCTTGTCGGCAATGAAGCTACATGGTACTCCTATACTACGCTGTACGGGATGAAAACATCATTTTCGTGTGAAGGATGGTCGTGAGCGACCAAGGTGACGGCACGTGTCGGTTGCTGACGTACGCGCAGATGCGACCGCCAGTGCTACCACCCAATGCAACGGACGAGAGCCTCTCGTTGCCGCCAGGTGTCTTTACCGAGTGCTTTTTGGGTCATTTTCAAAAAGGCGCCGGCATGTTCGAGGCCCTCATCCAAAACAAGCTCGCCGCCACCGCCCCATAGCTAAACCATACATATCTAGCGTCGTCGCAGAGTTGACCTCACTCTGTGCTTCTCAAAATGTCTGCGAAGTGTACGTCAGACGATATTCGCCTGGATATATTACATGTATTGCGTTATGCGACACCCATCATCGACGAGGTGTTGAGTTCTTGTCGCGAGCGTCTCCGTCGGGGCATTAAGGTGTGGACGTGTTGGGCTTGCGTGTTTGCGATCTTGGCCATCGTCCGTGCGTACCGAGTGTGCCATCATGTGGTCTTTTATATGTAACTACAGCTATCTACCGGGAGAAACTGGTTGGACCAAAGCGGTTGTTCGTGCACCAGTGGCGACTGCGCCGGAAGCGTGCTCGGCCCCACGCGAATATCAAACCAGTACTTTAGCGTAAACTTGAACCGGTCGGGCGCTGCCTTCGACGTAAGCAGGCACTGTGTCCGGGGAGCGACGGGTCGGCGAAGGCGAGGTCAGCAAAGTTGCCCCACGGCGCGTAGGCGTTGGTAACGACAGCAATGTTTGGAGACGACCAGGCTGGGACCAGGGACGTCGTGGGTGCAGCCTGCATGTAGCGTAGCGAGTGGCCACGGTGGCGCGCGGACCACGTATCAAGCGCCGGCTTGAGTCCGAGGCCAATTTGGTGTTTTGGCGCGAAGGCGATCGTTTGATGAAGGAGCCGGTGGCCTTGCGCACCCACGCCGACGACCGACAAAACACGTTTTAGCAGCATGCAACTGACATATATTGACATCGACAAGATAAAACTCCGCTGCCAGGCATTGATGATGGGTCCAAGGCGACAAGGATGAGAATGCTTAGACGAGCGTGCACTTGCCCGGGTTCTGGCGGCACCAGTGCGGGTGCACAGCGTCCGTGCCGATGCCGGCGTCCGCAATGCGATCACGCTGGATGCGCATGCGGCTCATCGCGTTCTTCCAGTTGGTCTTGGGGTTGGTCCAGAGACGCTCGGCGAGCGCCGCGGCGCGGGGCCAGATCTTGGCTTCCACAGCGCGTTCGTCGGCGATTTCGGACCACATGGCGACCTCGGAGCCAAGCATGAGTTTCGCGCTGGCTTCCGTCAGGTTGGCCCGCACGTCGAGGTCGTAAATCACCTGCCACGACTTGTACGGCGCGCACCAGCCATTGCCCTTGGAGACCCAGCCGCCGAAACCGCAGTCCAGGTAGTAGGCGTCGTAGTAGCTCGCGACTACCGAGAACCCCTTGGACGTGAGGCGCGCGGCGTCGCCGTCCGTCGAGCCACCCCAGAGCTGCACGATCGTGTTCTTGGGCTTGAAGTACTTGAGGTACGCGTCCGTCGTGAGGTCGCTGGTCCACACCATGATCTTCTTGTTGGCCTTCTCAATGTACTCGCCCGCCTTGAGCTGGAAGTCGCCCCAGAGCTCAAAGAACGGCGCGTTCGTGCTCGTGTCCTTGATGTGGTCCGTGATCGTCTTGGTCGAGTTCCAGCACGGCACCGAGACCTCGTCACCGCCCATGTGGAAGACATCGTCGTCAAAGAGGCTGTGCAGCTCGGCAAAGACCCTAACCACACATCGAACATCAGAGGACGGTTTCAAACGAATCCTAGCCGTACGCCTTCAAAATGTCGTAGACGTGCGCGTTGAGCGGGTTGAGCTGGCCGCACGGCGGCTCGAGGCAATAGTCCATCCACGGGTCCGAACCATAGCAGAGCGTGAGCTCGCCGTAGCCCGCCTTGGGTCCCCACTGCCAGCCGGCACCAGCGTGCGACGGCGCGTCGAGCTCCGGGATGATGCGCACGCCGCGCGACTTGGCAAACTGCACCAGCTCCCGGATCTGGTCTAGCGTGTAGATCTGGTCACGGCTGTACGCGCCGTACGTCGTCAGGCGCGGCTCGCTCTTGAGCTCAAACGGGAAGCTCGACGAGTCCGAAAAGTGCCAGTGAAACGTGTTGAGCTTGTTGGCCGCCATCGTATCGATGAGGCGGCGGAGCGACTCGATCGAGTAGTAGTTGCGCGCCGTGTCGAGCACGATACCGCGGTGGCTGTACGCTGGCTTGTCCTGAATGCTCACCTTGTTGACGATCTTGACCGAGTCGGAAATGTCGTCGTAGTCAATCAACTGGTTGAGCGTCGTGAGCGCGTGGCGGTAGCCATACACCGTCGCCGCGTTGATCTTGACCTTGGGCCCATCGATCGAGAGCTCGTAAGACTCGTCCGTCTCGGTCGAGAGCGCCTCCGTCGACGACGCGATCGTCGCCGTGATGACGAGCCCTTCGCCGCGGCCAAACGACTCGGTCGACGCGCCGGCCGTGCGGCCCTTGGCCAGCACCGCGTCGGTGAACGCCTTGCCGATCGCACCCGTGAGACGCGACGCTGACTCGGCGCCGTTGATCTGCACCGAGACGCGGTTGAGGTTGATGGCCTGGACCGCCGACCCGAGCGAGATGGTCGACGGGTACGGCCAGAGGCTACCGGCACCGCACGTCATTTCGCACATGCGGAGGCCGAGGGCGCCGGGGGTGACGCCGCGCTCCGCAATCGGCGACTGGACGCAGACGCCGTCGACGCACTTGTACGTGTGCTTGGGGATCTCGAGCGCGGTCGCGAGACCGGCAACCGCGAGAAGCGAGGCGTAAATCTTCATGGCTTGCTGGTGTCGAGCAGAGGAAATTGAAATGTGAGCTCACTCCACCATCGGACGGACGTACTTCAACGGTTGCAATTGGAGTGGCTTTTCTAGAACCAGTCTTGGCAGCTACAGCCAAGACGCGGTGCCATCAAGAAAAACATCGCCCGATTCGAATCCCATCTGCATTGAAGTTGGCACGTACTACTACACCCGTGGACGTGGCGTCACCGTACGACGGTATGCCCCCGCCCCGGCACTGCAGCTTGCATCAAACTTCATTGCTTTAGAGATAAGGACAAAGAGCCTCGTGGTCAGCAATCCATGACTTTACTCTAAGAACGACTTGTTGCATTTGAATTGCTTGCTGGTAGGTTGCAGTTTTGATCTTAATATCGAGCGCATAGCTGCTGGTATTACCGTACGTACAATCAATTGACGCGGCGGGTCTGAGTTGGTTCCATCAACGTGCACCTCTAGTGGTTCGCGGACAACGCTTCTCGGTTGCCGCCGAAACATACGGTGACCAAGAGTGGGCGCGTGACGCGTGCGGTGGCCAAGCGGCGGATGGTTTTAACCCCTCGTTTCTTCCCTACTGCGAGATACTGCCATGGCTTTCGGTACCCGCTCCGCCACACACCCTCCAAGTTACCGATATTCTATGTTGACCTCCTCGAACGCTCCGATGGGGATGTTGGCGTTGGGAGCGGAATGAGTGCGTCAGAAATCGACATAGCAAGCGGGATAGAGCGTCCTCGGTTCACCACTTATTGTCGCAGCTTTAAGCTGCTTGGGTCGTCGAGTAGAGCCTGATCGTGCGCCGCCAGCGTTGGATGTCGACGGTCGCCATCTTACAACGCTAGACGCTCGTGGCTACTTTTGCAGACAAAAAGATACTCTTTCTCAGGGCCATAAGAAATGATCGCGGCGGCAACTTCCTTGGACGCCTCCCGTGGTAGACGTCGCACCATCATCATCACCCCCTCTTGGCATCTAATCCTGGTCGGCCGCGACGAGGCCTTGTTCGATCACCTTTGCCCTCGCAGCTGACCCTATCTGTGACGGTGTCTTGCC